TTTGGCAAAAACAGGCAATATAGTGTCTAAAACGTAAGTCTCTTAATATTACCTTCTTGTTTATTGAACTGTTGAATAAAATTACATTTGTAATCATGCTGATTTTAGAGGTGAAAACTGGCACACTTCGTGGGATATTGACTAACGTTCTTTCTGTGGTATTTTTATGCACAATGGCGCTTAGTCTTTCACAAAACATAACTAACGTAAGGACATCATAACTAGCCACCATATTGATTTACGATCTTAAATATGTCCAGCACTTTGTTTTACAGTCTATGGTCCAGCGTTTATCGGGTTGTGCGTCAGTTATAATGGTCTGTGGGGAAACACGGTGTTCCGTGTGTAGTTACAGTAAATGGACTAAACGAAGCCTCGATGATTTTTTGTATACGAGTTACTCAAGGTATTCGAGGAATCGTTTCAGCCCTACACTTGAGTATTTGAAAGTGACAAATAAAATAAAAATAAACCAGGATATAACCCACACTTATCAGAAAAATTGCAAATATTGCCGTTTTAAACTGCTGTGGTTCTCAAACCTTTTTGGTTACTCTACTCCTTTAAACCTTTTTTAAAATCTGGCATAGACACGCTTTGTGTTGCTGTTGAAGTGAAGTGGCGTTCTTCTATGACGGGCTTGATGAGACGGTGCAAAGTCAACGGTCTAAAGAAGAAAGATTCAGAGGAATTGGCATTCGGTGCCACTTTATAGAAAGCAGAGATCCAGCCACCATTCACATGCTTGAATGCTGCCGCCACAGCTATTTCCCCACAGTATCTATGAGCCCTACACTTTGAGAACCACTGCCTCAAAGTGATAATATTCATACTTTAAGCACTAATAAGTACCCTTTAAGGAACTCATTTGCATCCTTTAGGGGTAGATAAGGTACAACGGTGTACCTTTGAGGGTACTGCCCCTATAAAAGTAGTTGCAACTAATGCCCTTAGTCTTTTTGGATAGTCTTTGATGGTATTTTCGTCCCCCTGCCCAGATTCTCATGCATTAGTCAAAGCATGCCAACTGTTCACTCTCACAATCTCTTTGTCATGTCCGCCTGTGGACACGCACACATCACCTTCTGTCCATTCACACTGCACACAACCCACACTGCTTTGTGTCTAAGCCACCATTCACCGCTGACCTATATCCAGACATAACCAGGTGAAAAAATATGCTCTGAGTTGCTTTCAGTGTCATAAAATTCAGCTTCAGGGCAGATCTCCAACGATCCCCGGGAGAATCTCCTTCGCTGACACATACAAGCCATGGGCCGCTAAAGCTAAAATAAAACTGCAGTTGCCATAGGGCAAACATACTGACCCACAGGTTAATATAATTTTAGCAGGGTGACAAACACACACACACACACACACACACACACATCAAAAACTACACAGTGAATAAGCAAAAGCAGAGACAGTGACAGAGGCAGAGAACTGGAGAGAAACACAGTACAGATGGGAAGAGGAAGATGAAAAGAGTGACAAATCAGAGAAGAGGGAGACCAAAGAGATAGGCCAATCACAGGCCATGAGGAAAAAAGCGAGTGAGAGAGATAGTCTGATGAGATAGTAATGAAATCAATCAGCTGCATGGAGAAACATAGACTTAAGACATAAGCACATTTGTGCAGGATAGAGAGAGATACGGGATAGACGGCGAATCTTCTGAGAGGTGGAACATAGAAAAATTTAAACTGAATATTCAGGTCATATTTCATCCCAAAAATTAAAAGAAAAAAATATGATTTGCTAAAAGAAAATATGAAATGCAGTTCACAATCATAAAAAATTGCCCAATTATTTAGGGCAGGGTTTTTTAAGTTGGCTGAAAAGGAAAGTTATTAACAGGTTATTTATGCACCATAAGAACAGAAACATTATATTATAAAGTAAACAGGGTCATTATTCAAGTTGATTTTTGAATTTTTTTAGTAGCTTTTTCCAAAGTAAATTACAAAAATTAATGTATTACTGTATTACCAATTAATGCACTTTTTTTATGTTAACAGAGTTAAAATGACACTTTTTGATTATTGTAAAGTAATGAAAATCAAATCAGCATAGCTATAGAAAATAATATGAATTACCAAAATAAAAAACTAATATTAATAATAATAAATAAAAAGTTAAATATCCAGACATTTTTTTAGGTAGGGAAAAGTCACAATAAAAACAATGGTCTTAACAATATGCCACAATGTCATAACATATCACCAAATAGGCACAAAAAAGGTCTCAACAATATGCTTCATTTACAAATAATAAATAAGAATAAATGTTAATATATAATAATATATCATTTTAATATATAATAAATTAATAAAATAAGATAAAATAATAAATAAAATAAAATAAAATAAAATAAAATAAAATAAAATAAAACCTAGATGACCTGGAAATATTTTTTTAGAGTTAGAATTAGAGTTTAACCCAGTAAATATAAAACATCTTAACACGGATTAAAGTCGTGATCACAGAGAGTTAACAGCCCCCATAACAGAGACATAAAGTGGGAAGAGGAGTGCATCCGAAGTCTCTCTCACTCTGGGGCTTTGCCGCCCTTAATTAACCGAGCTGGCATTCTCTCTCACACCGTAAAGGAGAGAACTTAATCCACTGCCAGCAAGGAGGCCTTCACAACAAAATTAAACTTGGTGAACTCGCATGACTAAAAGTAATAAAGACTAAAAAGGTCAGTCAACATTGTCTTACAGTGATTGGCGTAGAAACGTATGGCATGACATTCATTTTAAAAGTCAGGTGAGATGGTGTGTGCATGATGAGATAAGAAGATAAGAAGACAAGGGTGTGAGAGAAAGACAGAGGCACACAGAAAGACACAATCTGGCTACAGATAAAGTAATAAAGTAAATGAATATTCTCAGTGAAATACAAGCATATAATTTCAACTCGTCCCGCATTTTACTAAAAATGTAATTCTCAACTGAATTATATACAATCCACATAAGCAGAGGCAAATATCACATTTGCATTCTTTATTTCTTAAGTATATGGAACTAAAACACAGCTGGTTTTACACAAAGATGGATGTATTAATATGATGCAATGCAGATATCACTGAAATCCCACCAAATCGCAATGTCTTAAAGGGGTCATATGACGTTGCTAAAAAATAACATTATTTTGTGTATTTGGTGTAATGAAATGTGTTCATGTGGTTTAGGTTCAAAAAACACATTATTTTCCACATACTGTACATTATTGTTTCTCCTCTATGCCCCGCCTTTCTGAAACGCATCGATTTTTACAAAGCTCATCGGTCTGAAAAGCAAGGTGTGCTCTGATTGGCCAGCTATCCAGTGCGTTGTGATTGGCCGAATACCTCAAGCGTGTGACGGAAGAAATGTTACGCCCCTACCATACTGTGATGCCGTGTCCCGGCCGGAGCGATGAGACAAAAACATTAAAACCCATTATAAACGAGGCATTTGTTGCATCCAGTGGGGACATAATTACTTATTATAATGATACTGTCTTTTTACGTGTTGCGTTGCATTGCGCCGCGTAAGCATAAAACCATGTCTGTATTTGTGATCGGAGAAATGACAAACAACAAGCGCTACTCTACACTGCTCAAAACTCGTGTTTGAATCATCAGTGGCAAATCCTTTAAATATGAAAACGTTCTTACAGGCTGTGAGTCAGCATTATTTGTCAGAACAGTCGGCATTGTAGGCTACTCTCCCAGGAGACAGTCCTCGTCCTCCGTAAAATGCGTTGCACACATCTGAATTTTTGGTTTGGACTGTTCTGGAACAGTGTTGTAAATACAACTTAACCACTGATTTCTAGTTGTGTCCTCTTTTGAAAGGCGAAACAAAGTAGTTTCGCGTTCACAATTCTTTCTTTGCGTGAACATTTGGCCGGTGTTATGCAAATCTTCCCACACAGTGACGTAGACATGTGGGGGAGTGTTTAAACGAGGCGTTTTAGGAGGGCGTCTTAACTTTTATTAAGAATATCTCTTTGGCTTTGAGACTTTGGTCTTTGCAACTTTAGGGATCTTATCTATTCACGAACAGCTTGTAACACTCCAAAGAGAAAGGAAAACTTGAAATCGCATCATATGACCCCTTTAATCATATTTGTGACATCACGACTTTACTACACAAAAAATGGATGAAGATCCTACAGAGAGTGAATCCTTAAGAGTTCACCGTTAACTTGGTATTTGAGCTTTTAACAACAAATAACAAACCAAATAACCTTTTTTTAATATGGCATAATGTTCCAGAGGCTCTAAATGTTCTCTCAATATGACAAACCGAGACAAGTGTTTCTCTCTTCACCGCACATTTAATTGAGCTCTTTAAGTCCTTTCACAAACTGACAGTAAGTGCAGTAAATGCAGAGGGTACACCAATATAAAAAGATTAATTATGCAAAGAAGAAATCATTTTTGGCAAGCAAAAGCAAGGTGAATGAGTGTCATCCCAGAGAGAAATTACTGCACATTTACGTGAATGCGACCTTGCAGCTAAATAAATGGAGAAAAAACGTGAATCATTCTACAATCTACAATGATCACAATCATTTGATGTAATAAGACTCTTTGAGGAATCCTTCTAAAGATTTCAGCATTCTTATTATAATCATGAAGTATTTATCCTACTTGATAATCTAATTGATCTAACTGAACAGAGTCGTTGAGTTTGTGTTAATAGATTGATATCGCTCTGCAAATCTGTCATATACCTGCTTGTGATGATCTACCACTAGTTTAATCGGTCATCTTTGAAATTACAACAGGCGTAGCACATCTCATAAAACAGAAATAACAATGTCGGAATGTTCACTGCAATAAATATGCTGAAAACAAAGATGGCACAGTCTTGCCATGCAGGAAATACCATTATTATGGATATCCTGCAACAGAATGCCTTGCAACCACTGTAGCATAACTTGTCAGGCGAGACTAACCCACCCAACCCCTAACCTTAACATTAAAAAGATGCACATTTTCTCCTTACCGTAAACTCCTTGCGTTTGCACGTAGCGATGGAATACAGAAAATAATAAAATCCAGAAAAGCTCCATCTTCAGGTGCGATCCCTCATTACCTGTGGGGAAAACCACGAAAGCACACAATCACTGCACAGGCCACCACAGCACAGCACGAGCTCAGCATTAAAATGAGTGCTCCTGCAGCCAGAATCATGCCATCATCATCATCATCATCATCATCAGAGATTAAAGTAGCCTAACAAAACATTATTCACCAGTTGAAGTATTTTTATCCCTGCATTGTTCCAGTGCATGCATGCATGTTGGGTTAAGAACAGACAATTCATTTGCCAAACCTTGGATTATCTGCAGATTACAGGAGCTGTGCTATTGTTTGATGGGATTGAATGCAGCAATCATGAGTTATTTCTGAAATTGGTGGGCAGTTAAGGACGATCAAATACGTGATTTATTAAACCTGACCGGAATCCAGTATCACACTGGTCAGATCAAGAAAGACATGCACAAGTATTCAACTTTTTGCTGGAAAGCCAAGCTCTATTTTGGCACACAGTAGCTCTTTTCTAGCTCTTGGAACATCTTGGACCAGTATCAAACCAGCTACCAGCAGGTAATACCACTCTAGGATGGTCAAACTGGGTTTTTTTTTGGAAAATGGTAGCTGGTAAGGTAAGGCTAATGGCCATCTTAAAATGGATTTTTCCAAACAGAGGTCTGAGAAATTATGTTAGATGGTTGTTCAACTAACTTTATGACTGGTTTAGACTGTATTTGTTTCATTTGAACATCAAATAGAGCATTTAGTAACTAACATCATTTTCCGCTCTAGGATCCCAGGCAGAACATTGACAAAAATAATTCATGACATTATTTAGCACTTTATAGATGTACATAACACTAATATTTCACAAAAAAAATGTATTAATGAATCTCAACAATAGAAAAATCTCTAAAGAAGTTCTTCAAAAATAGTCATTACTATAATACACTGCAATACTAAATACACAAGTATTAGCAAGTGGGCTATAATTTGAATAGGCTACATGACATACACTACATCACTTAATCTGTAGTAAAACATCTTTAAAACTAAATTCAAACGTTTTCTGTGATATAGTTGCCATTTGTACCTCTCAAATAAAGTGATTACAGTAGGCTACTTCTGTTTCGTCCTTGTTCAATTCTATACTTATCCTAAAGGAAAGTCCTCGAACCGCGTACTGTTGCTATAGTAACCGCCTCAGGCGACCGCGACTCCGTTTCCAATATGCTACTAACTTGTAAATCTTACTTTCGTGGTCATTAAAATGCTGTTAAAAGTAACGTGCACGTATGCTTTTAAGACCATAAACCATTTTTTACTTTTTTGAAGGTTCAACCCTTAATTAAGAGTACGTCAAACCCCCCCGACGTCGCACACTTTCCGGTAGGACCAAACCTGTGGTAAGTGTACTCGAAATGACTTTGGATTAAAGCACCACCTCAGTGACAGATCAGGATAATAATTAAAGAGTCCTGCGAGATTCATGGCAGAATTTCTCAACAGTCTGAAGTTTAAATTCATGAACACTTGGGTCACACATCTGAACAGGATTCGTTACATTTATCAGCTTGCAGGGCTAAAAATCACACACAAAGTTCTCTCGTGTCTAGTATGCACTATAAAAAGTGAGAATGTGCGGCAACTTCTACCTAATTTTAATGTTCCAATTAAATCCCACTGATGTCATTTAAGCAGTCACGCTATTTAAGACTTGAATAAACCAATGAAGCGCATTTTAGGATATATCTCACAAAACATATTTCTACTGTATGCATTCTTGGGTGTGGACATCGAGCGTTCACAAGCATTCACATTTAGACTGTTTCAAACACTCAAAGCTCTTTTCAGAATAAAATATTCCGATATAAAGTAGCGCTTACCTTTCTCTATGGGGGTTCAGCCTGTAGATCGCTGCCTTTCTAAATAATTCCCTTAGCAAAGAACGACTTTCAGCAGAACAGAGTTCCAGGTGTTTAGTTTGTTGCGTGTTCAGCAGGAGCGCACCGATGTCTCTCCGTCCAGAAAATGGAGACAAAATTCCAACACATTCTTCCAGGCAACTTCAACTGATGTGAAACTCTTGAAGGCGGCACGCATCCACACATCCAAGGGCGAAATCGTGGAAAGCAGCAGTCCGATGCGATGCGAGCTCTGTAAGTGACTGATTGCAACTCTTGTCCTGTGATGTTCTTCTATCAGATGTGTGCTCATCGATGGCTCTCTCAAGAGTGAGGCGGATGGAGAGGTTGCGCGTCTTTGCGCATCAGTGTGGAGATGCGCGCACAGATCTCTCTGGGTAATGCGCGTCTGATATCTCAACGGGCTTCTGGAGAGTCTCTGCGTAAAGCTTGTCCAGCTCTGGTCTCGGTAATGAGTGGGTTTTTCAGAAGGGTCCGGGGTCTAAACTGTATAAACTCTCGGCTTTTTCCAATAGTATTTTGGTGGAATCTCCAGCCAATTAAAGCTGCGCAGCTGCAAACGGAGGACTCGCCCCGGATCCCGGAGGGCCAATTAAATAAGAAAGAAGAAGAAAAAAACTCACAATGTCTCTGCCACCCCTCCTCTTTATTCCCCTCTCTCCTCCACCCGCTTTCTACTCCATCTCCCCTTCCATCAGTTTCTCAGTGTCTGTCGTCACTGATGGTGTGGACACTTTTTGAACTAAAGCGCGCTGTTGCTCGTGACCAATAGGTGGCGTGTTTGAGCTAATTATAATTCCAGAGAGCGCTCACCATCACCCCTGCCCTTATTCATAAGGGAAAATAACAAATTGTGCATCAGGTCGGGCTCAGCTATCCGTTATATCAAGACATCGTGTGTGGTGTCAGTGTTGTCTTTTGGTTTTGTTTCGAGGTAAAACTAACTAAAACATGTCTATGTCACATTTCACCCTAGAATCAAAAGAAAAAGATAGAATTATAAAATAAAACATTTATAAATATATTTTGCCTAAAAATTTACTTTCATTATTTGATGGCATTTTTTTCTCCAGATTCTCATGTTCTACTTTTTTTTTTTTTTCATATTATTTTTATTTAAATCATCATAAAAGGTAGTACAACAAGCTTTCATTGCTTCAAGTAAAATACATTTATTATTTCGGTTACACTTTACTTGAAGGGGTGTGCATAAGACTGACATGACACCTACATAATCATGACATGACACATGTCATGAATATGAAGGTTTTTTTATGCATGTTTATGACAACTGTCATTAAGTGTCATTTGCTCAGTTATGTCATTTTTAATGCAAATATGACATTATTTGACCTAACCCTAACCTACCCCTACCCCTACCCTTACCCCTAACCATAGCCCATAACAAAGACATCTCAAATAATGTCATCTTTGCATTAAAAATGATATAACTGAGCAAATGACACTTAATGACAGTTGTCATAAACATGCATAAAACCTCCTTCATATTCATGACATGTGTCATGTCATGATTATGAAGGTGTCATGTCAGTCTTATGCACACCCCTTCAAGTAAAGTGTTACCATTATTTCTTACTTTGGGTTTTTGGGGTAAAATATAAACTGGACACTGGATTTATTTATTTAGTTAGTTAGTTCATTTGTATTTCAGTAATTTGGGGGTCAAATATGGTTAATTGCCATGAAAATAATGTTTCAATTTTGGTCCTATATAAGTTACATATGCTTAAATATCATTTAAAATATGAAGTAGAATATGGTTTCTTATTTTCTTAATTTTCATAAATTTATGACACATTCAGTATCACAGAATGAACACACATTATCATCAAACACGGTAACCTTGGAATAAATTACACCACTGACAAAGCACTGTAAAACACATTTTGACAGCTAATCTAAAAATGCTTCAGGTAATCTCTAAATTAACAGTTGTTAAAGTCAAAAATATTACTTGTTATGAATGTAACAACCTGACTACAGTATATTAAATTACAGCAAAGAAAGTAATTTTAAGGTTCAGATTATAGGTAGAAAAAGGCACAAAATGCACGTCTCTGTAGAAAAAAAATAAAAGAAAAAAAGAACAGTCACTTTTAAAGTGCTCAAAAAGAATGACAGACTCAGTAATGGCATTTTTAGCTCAGAAACACTCTCTGCCTGTCAGTCATTCTGCATGTCGCAGTGTGCTGACCAAGCGGCAACCTTCCGCTCTCTCTCGTGAAGCCAACAAGGAAGTGACTTAAACTGTAATTCATCGACTTGCCGCTAGAGGCTGGCTGCAAAAGCGAGTCAATCCCATAGACTCCCCATGTTAAAATGCCCAACTTTACAGCAGAAAAAAAACGTTTACAGCCTGGTTCAAAAAATAATTTTGGTCTATATAGCTAATTTTGCCATTCATGACAACTGTGAGGGGGGTGAATTTTTTTATAACTCAAAATAACTTTAAATTATATCAAGCCTTTAAGTTCTGCATAATTAAGGGCGTGGCCACTTGAGTGACAGGTGGATTGCCTGCTGTCACCACCGTCGAGCTAGGTGGGCGTGGTTTCAGTAACCAGCTCCCGCCTCTTTGCCCATTTTCGATTATCCAGGAGTGACGCGTGGTGACGCGCTGCCAAGATGGCGATGGCCGGCTCCGCCCACTTTGAGCTTCAAAAACCCTCTTCGGAAATCAACGGGTGATGGCACTACGTCCATGTTTTTATACAGTCTATGGTGCTGACCTGTCTTTGGAGGACGGGGTTTATTGACAAACTGCATTTTTTGCATAAAATTAAATGAAATAATTGTTCTGAGAACCACACAAATCTCTGTGAAAGTAGAAAACAGCAACAAAAAAAAAAAAACAGTCACTTGCTCAAAAAAGAGTGACAGTAATGGCACTTTTCAGGCCCATCAGAAACACTCTCTGCACGTCAATCCTTCTACATGTCAGAGTTTGCTCACCTGTCTTTAGAGGGCGGGGTTCCCATTCTCAAACCCACTGGGAAGATCTCCTGCCTGGGACAGAGAGAAATTAAACATCAGTTTGATGCACAGAAATTAATAAATCAGTTCCAGGATGTACTGTCGAAGAAACTGCCAGCCTGTCTAAATCCTCCTCCCTTTCCCTATCTCCGTCTTCCTCCCATTTTTGAGAGACAGCCAGCAGCCTTGGCAAGGATTGTGAAGAGAACATCATAGTTTAGTTCATCACAGTAAATGTGTGTGAGAGTCTGGCAGAGCCGGACTGGCGGCTGACATGCACGCTGCGCGCCCCAGGTGTGTCCTCTCCTGCCCAGGGCTAGCGCATGGCACATGAAAGCGGGATGAGTGCTCTCTGGACCAGAGTGGAAGACAGAGAAATACTCTGGCCAAATAAATGTGTGAGCCAGGGGAATGCTGTCAGCAAGCATGTGTCAGTGTGTGGGAGTATGTCAGCTTTCGCAGACTCCTCTTGTGCTGGCCACAAAGGAGTACACTTCTCTTACTTCAAATTGAAAATATCCTCAATGAGACGTTAATTAATGGAATGCTCTCCATACAGTTTGCAGCGCCACAAATCCCTCAGCTTCTTCTTGTTTATACATATTTAACATTTCAAGGGAAAGTTCACGCAGAACTGAAAATTCTGACATCGTTTACTCCCCTTTCTTCTGTGCGACAGAAAGTGAAAAATATCGAATAATGAAAATGTTGTCTATACAACTTATGTGCTGCCCTCTGTCCATAACATTTGCTTAATGTTTTTCTGAAGCCATATGATAAGTACAGACCCAAATGCAAACAGCTCTTTACTGAAAATCTTGCTTTCTGTCATAGCTCTCAAATGCCTCACTTTCACTTATTCATACTTTTTGTGTTTTTGGCATCACTGACATCAAGCTTGGCATATGTCATATTTACTATACAGTACATGTGTGAGATTGAGAGGTAAAGCAAAGAGCAAGCTTTTCAGTGAATAATGAATACGTGACTTCAGAAGACTGGACATTTTTGAAAAAGTCTGCAGATTTGATGGATACAGGAACAAAGGATAATTAATTGATTTTGTAATTAAGATTTGAATTTTAATAATTTCTTATTGATAAAAAATATAAGAACTTTCTTTTTCAAATTTCAGAACTTTCTCTTTGTAACTTATAAAGAAAAGACATCTGTTGGTGACATTAGGCATGAAGAATTACTGCATAAATCATACATTAGGGAGGCACTACAGCAGAACAGGGTAAAACATATATTCAATATTCCTATGAAATATGAGATATGCCTAAAATATTTACAAATGATTACATTATTATATCATTATTACAATTTCATTTAGTATTACAGATTGCTCTCAGAAACACTACTTAATATAAAATAATAACTATGACTAAAACAAAAAGTTAGGAACATCCGCAAATTCAAAGTACAGTAAATATTACACATACAGATTATTCTGTAATATGCTTTATAATTTAGTTGAGAACCAATGTGCAAAGAATGTTTTATGTGTGTTTTGTGGAAGCTGATTATGTCTGTACTGGGAAAAAAAAGTTTTAATATTTAGGCTATATGAATATATAAATTATCTACAAATACTTAAACTCAAATGGATACCTGGACAATTTTCAATCTGGTTTCCGGCCGCATCACAGCACAGAGACAGCGCTCATTAAGATAATAAATGATATTCGCTTAAATTCTGAATCTGGCAAAATATCAAAATATCTGGCAAAATAATAATAAATAATAGTGCTGCGTTTGACACTGTCGATCATAACATACTACTACAGCCTTGTTTTATTGTTGTGATTATTTTTTTCTTTTCTTTTATGTAAAGCACTTTGAATTACCATTGTGTATGAAATGTGCTATATACAGTAAATAAACTTGCCTTGCCTTGCCTTGCCTTGCCTTGCCTATATGCATACACACCAGGGCTGGACTGGGACAAAAAAATCAGCCAAGGCATTTTTCACAAAACTTAAGTCACTTGGATATATTTTTAGCAATAGCCAAAAAAAAAACATTGTATGGGTCAAAAGTATCGATTTTTCTTTTATGCCAAAAATCATTAGGATATTAAGTAAAGATCATGTTACACACTACCATTCAAAAGTTTGGGATAAGTAAGAAATTAATACTTTTATTTAGAAAGGATGCATTAAATTGATCAAAGGTGTGAGTAAAGTCATGTATACTGTTACAAACATTTTTCAATTAAAATAAATGCTGTTCTATTGAAACTTCTGTTTATTAAATAATTAAAAATAAAAATGTATCACAGTTTCCACA